TTAATTGTATTGAGATTTTGATGTAAAGTATTTTCCTATTTTGATTTCCTCTTTGATTAAAGAATAATTTCAAAATGAATTTTGAACTTCTAAGCAGATGGTGTTTTGTTTTCTTTTGGTTGTTTCTACATTTCTTTAGTTTTATTACATGGTGGTAATAGAGCAATTTTGCATCATTTCTGTTTTTTCAAATATATATATTGTGTGTGTGTGTGTGCATGCGTGCACTGTTTTATATAATTATATAGATTATTCAATGAGAGCATGAAACAATTACATTATCTGTTTGCAGAGTTTAAGTGTATCTAAGTTTTTGGGTTCTCTATATCTTGGAGATAATTTCTAGGTCAGTTTGTAACAATCTTTATTCTTTTTTACGGTATTATAATGTTCCATTGTATGGAAGTACCATAACTTAAATATCCCCTACTGATAAATATTTGAATTGCTCTGATATTTTGCTATTGTAACAAATGAGGCTGAAATGAATACATTACCATGATCTGGTAAATAATATGTCATTCTGTGGGAGGATATCTGTGGAATAAATTATAAATCAATCCGTTTCCTGAGCTTTCTTCTCTTTCAGTCTTATTCAATTGTTTAATATCTCCCGAGTCACATTTCTGAGACTTCAAAGAAGTTGAATTCTAAAATTTTCTTCTCTTTCCTCAGAAAATGTCCCTCCTAATGTGCTCCAGCTCTGTTTTTTGGATTCAGTACTTTGTTTCTCCCCGACTTCCAACCTTCCCCCCAGATTTTTGGCGTAGTCCCCCTGCTGCTATTTCCATCTCGGGTATTTCAGTCTGTGGTCATTCCTGGCCCCCAAAAACTCTGTGCTCCACATCCTTGCCTCCCCTATTTACCTGTCAACATTTTCATTATGATTATGTTGGTGCAAATAGTATTTTAATTGCTGTGGGCTTATGATTAATATGTGAACATATTATTACATGTCAGTTCCCTTCTCACTTAACTCTATTTGACTGATTTTTAATATGCACGTTTTCCATATTTTCATGTTTCTGAAATCAGGGTGTGATAATAATATTCAAATCACAGTTCTTTATATTTCTTCCCAAAAAATGTTTTAAAATTAATAGTCTTACCATTGATGGTGTTTTGAAACCAGTACGGCATTTCCTACACATCTCAAGCAGAGTGTGTGTTGAACTTCCTGAATTCTTTTTAAGTTGGTCCAAAATGTGTTGTACCGGACGCATAGCCTTTGAAGTATTTCACATCTGTTCCCTAATTTCAGTATAGTTGAACTTGATTTTCCTTTCTTTTCATTTCCTTGGTTTTTGTTGTGTGGTGTGTACGTGTTGACACTTTAACCATCTTTCCAGAAATGTTTACCATTAAGTATGAAAGAGGAGTCTGTAAGTTTCCCAATGATTTTGTAAGCCATTAAAAACCCCGTAACATGTCTTTTTCTGCTCAGATTTGCTGGAGTGAATTCTGTTCCCCCAAAGTGAGCCCGCTCCCCCCGCAAGTAGAGTCTACTGGGGGTATATCTGGCAGAGACGTTAGGTTACAAAGCCTATCTATTCAATTGTAATCATGAAAAGTGAAGGAAGGAAAGCAAATGAATGTGGAGCTTTAGAAGTCCGATACTTGGAAACCACTGTTAGTTCAATCCACATACAATTTCCGAGGTGCTTTGGTGTGTGCACCTCCCTAAAGAAAAGACTCAGGGAAATGTGACAAAATGAACTGAGACTCTAACAACCTCACATGCAGGCCAGGGAAGTCATTGTAGTCTATCTCTACAGCAACTTTCTGTAGCTTTCTCTTGATTAAGATAAATTAAACATATACCCAAGTTTGGTTTTCCCATAAATCCAATAATTATGTTTCCAAAATGGAAAACCTATACATTATTTTTAAAACCTGTTTTACACATTAGAAATAACACAGAACTGAACATTTTTCAAGCTAAGTTAGGGCAGTCAGTATTTAGCTTATAAATACACTTTCTTTGTCATGAAGAAGTACAAGTTTAAGCCATTTTTCTAAGTTTTGTTGTTATAAGGAAACACTAATTTCACTATTCAAACTAAAGTCTCTTGGAAAAAGAGTGTCAATTTGAATATGCCCGAAACCCTGAAAAGAATCTGGACCAAAGACAAAATTTTACCAAACAGATGCCAAAAAAGCATTTTCTTTCGTTGCTGAACTTAATTTTTCCATGAACTATACTGTGTATTCAATCACAAACAAACCCAATAACAGGATCATACACTGTTTTAAATCCACAAACACAAGACTTTGGAATCAGAAGTAAAACCCTCATGGAGATGACACAGAGGTAAACTGTTATTAGTGACACCTGACTCTTTTTTGTGACTCAGATTTTTACTGGTACTGTTGTCAATTGGCATAAATTTCAAATAAAGGAATATCATGGCCTTTTCAATGGTAATAACTAGCTATCTACAGATATAAAACATAATTGGTGTGTAATAAAGATGTAGTACTCTAAAAATCTTTTTCAAATCAATAAAAATGTATTTTAAAAACAAATTCTTAACTTTCAACTTCTTTCTTCCAATGCTCACCTAAAAACTAACTTTTGTTACCAAGAAATGTCTCTCAACTTGTTTCCTGGCTCCTAAAAGCCTGACCTCCTATTTCCCTTCTTGCATTTATTTCATCGTACCCAGTCCTGATTTTCCAGACTCGTGGGGTAAGAGCACTGCGGACTGCTTTGGGAGACCATGGAATTGAGTTCAATGCTGTCTGCGATGTTGGTTAAAACACAGTAATTGCCACAGATGCATTTTGCCCTTGAACCGTAACATCTTTTAAAAATTATTATGAAATACTTAGGCAATACAAAAAGTGTAGACTGTATTACAATCATTGCTTGCAACCCCACCACTCAGCTTAAGATAGGACACTTTTCAACTTTTCTTCCCTGACGAAATTACTCCCCAGTATTTGGTGCTTTTCATCTCTATTCAGGTAGTCTTTTACTACACACCCCCACAAACAGCATATATTATTCTGTATGCCTTAAACATTAAATATTATGATAAGTATTCTTCTGAAACATTCTTTTTGTTCTGCAGCTCTAGTTTTTTACTGCATTCAGTACTGCATTGGATGAGTATTTCATAGAGGTCCACTCTTGTATTGGTGGATATTAGGTTGTTTCCAGTTTCTTACTACTTCCGAACAATAGAGCTAAGATTTTCTGATTCATTTCTTCATTGAATACAACTTGCTCTGAGATATACACCAAGAACTGTTGAGTTACAGGGTCTTCCACATGACTTGACATGCCAGTTGCTTTCTGAAGTGATTGTACCACGTAAGCTCCTACAGCAGAGTGGGGGGCCTTGGGATTATAAACTCTGTAGGCAAGAGTCCTAGCTGTTGGAATCCCCTGTGGCCAGGCTGAGGATCTATTCCTCCAACTAGTGCAACTGCTAGTCATCCCAAGGATATTTCTAGCTCAGACACATGCTTTCATGTTAATTTCCAGGCTTTGAGCTTCTGTATCACGAAAGTCTTGTGAATTCAAATCCTGAAGCCATGGTCAGGCGAGTCCAGTCGGAATTCTCAGAGGGGCCTTTTTTCTTTTTTAATCCAAAGCACAGACCAAGAGAACAGAGGCTCCTTGAGGTCTCCCTGGCCAGCAGGAGGATTTCTTGTCTAGTCTGTTTCTACACTGAAGGTCTTTAAAGATCTGGCATTAAGTATGAGGCTCAGTTATAACTTCATGTCATATGGGCTGAAAGGTCCAAGTGACCTTTAACATCTGAACTTCTGGCTGGCTGAGACGGCCACCTTCCTCTCCACCACCCAGCTTGCAGCCCACAAGCCTGTGTGGGTTCAAGTTTACTGTTCTGGTTTTTATTTTATTGGCAATGGAGTTTAATTTTCATGTCCAGGCCGTTGGAAAAACATTTTTCTCTTATTCTCTTGTGCCCCCAGTACTTGTAGGAAAGAAGTTATGCTGCTCTCATGAGCAAAAAAGTAATTTTGAGGTTCTATTTATTTCAATATGTAAGCCTCATTTTCTACATCAGCGGAATCCAACAGAATTTCCTAGGGATGGAAATCCTATATAATAAAAGGGTAATATGCAAATAGATCAAATAGCAGAATGACCGGTCACTATGACGCGCACCGACCACCAGGGGGCAGACGCTCAACATAGGAGCTGCCCCCTCATGGTCAGTGCGTTCCCACAGGGGGAGCGCCACTCAGCCAGAAGCTGGGCTCAGGGCTGGCGAGCATAGCGGCAGTGGCGGGAGCCTCTCCCACCTCCGTGGCAGAACTAAGGTTGTCCAACTGCCAGCTTAGGCCTGCTCCCGGGAACGGGCCTAAGCCGTCAGTTGGACATCCCCTGAGGGCTCCCGGACTGCAAGAGGGCGCAGGCTGAGCTGAGGAACACACCCCCTACCCCCGAGTGCACAGATGTTGTGCACCGGGCCTCTAGTGTTCTATAATGCCTTCTGTCCCATATGGCGGGCACTCGTCACCCATGGCTGCCAAGTGCTAACATGTCTGATGAACTAGATTTTTAATACTATTTTAGTTAGAGTTTAAACTTAAATAGTCACATGTGACTGGTGTCTACTATATTTGACAGCACAGTTCTAAATAGTAGTAATAGTTTTCAACCCTCTGGTGATTTTATGTACTAACAAACCACTGAAGTCTGGGAACAAACCTTGCAAATCTACTTCTAATAGTTACAGAATGAAGTATTTGGATACGATTTCAGAATACCTGCCACCACAAAACTGTGTAGCCCCATTATTTTGATAATCAGGTATTTCTTACCTGACTTGTCTTTCTGGGGATTTTCAAAGATCTACAGTGACCAGGTTTAAGTGCACTTCTTTCCATTGCTAGGAAGGTAGGGAATCAAAGTCCAACAACTTTTCAAGGATATTTATGGAGTACTCAAGCGTTAAGAAACCTCAAGGATAAAATAACCAGAAATATAAATAAATGTATTTAGAATGCAACATGAGACAATATGATTGAGTGTACAATTTGGTTCATCTTTTAACTGAAAAGTTTATTGGTGACTGAAAATGTGCACAAGTTAAAACATGAACACTTTATATGATTCATTTCTAGCATCTGATGAAAAAACACCACCAAGTACTGCTCTAGGACTGGACTGGGCTTATATTTTCAATTTTTTAAATTTTTAAAGGGCATTACAGTATATGGGACTCTTATTTCTTTGTTCTTTAACTGCCATAAGTATAGATTAATGTGGCTGAAGCAAAAATGCAGGTATGAATATAATGAGAACCAGTATGTATTTGGAAACAAGGCCACATAAGGTTGGCAGGTGCTTCTGGCCATTTCATTGTTTGGCCTTCAAAAATAAAGATTTGCAAATATTTCCCACCATGCATCATCCACATGCATTCTCTCTGTTCTTGTATAAAACTGATGCCTAGGTTTGGCATTTAGGAATGCACTGAAATGGGCTCTGAAGTAAGAAAAGCATTTCATGGGATGAAGGAACCAGGTCAAAAGTGAAAAAGCTAGAAGTTTACATTTTAAAACTCAGCACACATTTCCAGGTAAAACTGATTTAAACCTCTGTCCTGAGATTTTCATTTTATCCATATGATTTAAAATGTCTACAAGAACTGAAGCCCCTTAATTCCAGTCAACCAATTTCAGACATTTTGTTTCTTAAGAATTTCTTTTTTTAACATTCTCAACACAAAATTTTAAAACGAAACAAATTTTCTCTAGAAAGCATTTTTAGCATAACGAAGGGGTATGTTTTTTCAGAGTGTATGAAGCCCACTCTTCTCTTGATAATCTTCATAGAAACGTCTCAGTGACTCGTGAATTCTGGGCGTCACAGTGCTCAAGGCTTGAGTGAAATGTTTTTTCCCGATGCATTTGGCTTTAATGTCTTCTTCTAGCGCCAGAAGGGCGGCCTCTCTACAGACGGCGATGACCTAAGGGGAGAGAGAAGGCAATCAATATTGGTTTTTAGAAATGTAGCATTTTGGTGTAACTTCTGCAACTATAAGCACATTGCTAAACCTATTCCACTTACATTTTCAAAAGGATAAAATGTAATCACCTTCATTCCCAAACAACGCATTAAGTACTCAGAACCAGGAGCAGCAACATAATCAAGATAACGGCCCCTGCTTACAACTGTAAAGGTGGAACAGACCGGCAGGCACATATGTCTCACGCAGGACTATGAAGGATGAGTGTGTATGTGTGGCGGGGCAGGGAAGGAGGCACTATAGTGAGGTCCGGCTCATCAGCACACCTGGCCACGCACAGAATCGCCACATTCCTTTCAGCCTTTGATGTATTACCAACATGTAAAAGCATTTCTTTATGTGCATCTCTTTAATGTGTTCTTAAATCTCGGGAATATCAGATCGAGTTGTCTCTGTTTACTTTGGAGAGCTGCGTTAGAACAGAGAAGTGAATTCTGTTTACTCAGCCAGGGAAGCTGAAAGAATGGCAAAGAATGGGGGGTGGGGGTGGGGGGGGGTAGAGTGAGGGCAGAGTGGGCGGTGGGGAACCGGAAGGGAGGCAGGTTCAAGTCTTGAATCCTGAAAATGTGTTTTTAAGCTCTCTACTCTTCAGACAACGGAAGCAGGCTGATGGCAGTGTCATTCTAAAGACACATTACTGTGGTGAAAGGGGCTTGTGGGATGAAAAGAGAGATTGTGATTTTCAGGGCAACAGGGAAAACAGTGATTGATACTGACTGCGCCCTTCTATCGGTAAATGAAAGGGCCAGCTGAAACGCATTTGTCCAGCCATTCAGCATATTTTCTCTGTTTGTTCACTTATTGAAAAGGCTCCTCTGCTTATGCTGGGCTAATGGCTGCCAAAGCAATTCAGTCCCTTTTTAGGGGATTTAGCAGCATGTTTTTAGGAAGCTTTCAAAAAAAAACATGCATAGATTTAGGTGGCTTTGTCAAATTACGACAATGACACTGTTAATTCTGGGCTTCATTAATGAGCACTGAAGTTGACTGCCAAGGTTCTGCATGTTAATGCTTTTCCAGAAAGAGTGGCTACCAACTTGAGGAAAAACATAAAACTTCAGGGATTAGTAAAACACCTTCATCACATACACTGGTGCAAAAAGAGTTACTTTGAAAATAAGACATGATAAATAAAAAGCACGGTAAGAGGGTGGAGTGCCCAGCATGGTAACCTAGCAATTCAATGGTCCCACTATGTGCCAAAGAGAACTGGGGGACCTCTTTGAAGGGCTGTGAAGGGACCAAGTGGGAACAGCCTCAACCCTCCACCCTCCTTTTGAGCAGCACTTTCCTCATCCGGGTAAGAATGTGAAGCACTGATTGTGATGCTAAAAAGTCGGAAGAAGGTCCAGAGGGGAGGAGGCAGCGAGGACTGGATTTTCTGCTGGCGGCGGAGTCCAGCCCTCTGACAGTTCAGGAACGTTCCCACTGCCTTGCTCCCTCTCAGGCTAAGTGGAGTAGAAAAGCCATCACTCTGGGCATGCCATGTCTTGCACACTTCAGAACTGAGACTTAGCTCACAGAGCATCATGCTACGAACATTTACTGAGTACATGCCACGTGTGCCAGACAACTACTCATGACTGTGCTGACTGACTGCTATGTGACTAGTGCCCCAGGTTTTGTACAATGCAGTGATCAGCTAATGTGAAGTCTTGATGGGAGCATGGCAAATGGAGTGGCCAGATGAGCTCGTGTAGGGAGGTGGTGGTGGGTAGGGAGTAGGGTGTTGGGGAGGTTGGTTGAGTTGAGGATAGGAGAGGTGACTGAAAGGCTGCCTGGAGCCTCTCAAAGTTCCTGGAATTTGGTTCACAGAGCTACTTGGTAGGTGATTAATTCTGCCGGCACATGTGAGAAAGTTCACAGTCTAATAGGCTTCCTCTCAATACACAGAAATAAAACTGGAAGAAGAAATGACTGTACTCCTGTAATTCCTGGATTCTCCAGGTAGTCTGATGTGTCAAGGTAGAGCAGGTGGGTAGTGACAGGTCATTGAGGCCTCAAAGGCTGTCCTTGGGGTCAGCTCCCCTGAGTAATTGTTCTTTGCAGGTCAGCTTTTCTTCTTCTGTATCTGCATCTATAGATTTTTCTCTAAGCGGTAAATTGCATTTTGCCCTTATGTGGTAGCTTCCATGGCAGGGACAGAGGGGCCTAGATGGCGAGATGTGGTCAGAGCAATCACAGCCACTTGAAAGCTGGATGTTTGTAACTTGCGGCCTCTAGAGTATGTTAACATTTGAGAAATTCCCTGTAATAGTTAGTACTGGCCTGACCCTTACTTAACAATTCCATCCAACCTGGAGATCTACAAATCTGTGAGATACAGAAAATTTGGACAGAGTTTTGACTAGAGTGCTGAGAAATGTGTGGATTAGACACAGATGACATTTAGAACCTTTGAGAGACAATGACAAGGGAAACAGCGGCAGAATCCTGGCCCTCGAGGACCGCCCAGGAAGGTGTCCTCCTGGGTTTGCAGCTGTTTGCACTTCCAGGGTGGCAGGAGGACTACCTGAACGCAACACTTTGCTTTGATAAATGTCACCCTGCTTCTTTTTATTTACAAGGACACCCTGAAGAACCAGCCAATTAGGCAGTCCTTTCCACCACTTTTATTTTCCTATCATATTTGCTTAGCAATACACAACCTATAACAGAGAGGAAATAGTACACTACTCATAACTGACCAGTCATGCTTTCATCAATCACACCTACTGAATAGCTCCTCTGTGCAACACCTAGGTGAGGCCTGGTGTAGCATCTAGAGATGTCCAAGACACAGTACCTGTCTTCTGATGCTCCCAAACCAGGAGGTATAGACAGCAGCTAACTGTGTGTGGCAAAGGCAAAGTACTTTGGTGGGGAGAGAAGGAAGAAATTAGTGCTTCATAAACCGGAGTGGGAAGGACAGAATTTAGATATTATACAAGGAAGGAAAGGGCATTCTGAGCAGAAGGAATAAAGTGAGCAAAGAAATGGCAAGGTGGGGAAGGAGACCAAAATGGAGAACTAAAAACAAAAGAGTAATTCCATAAAAAAAAAGGGGGGGGCACTAAAAAGAGCAAGGATAGTTTTCAGAAGTCACGAGGGCCACAATGGCAGCGAGGGCTCGTCAATGACAGGCATCTCTAAAGCTCTCACCGACTTCACAAGCATCTGATGCACAAGCAGCAGACAGAGCACCGCTCCTAAAGTTCCTTTGTTTTTATTTTCCCCATGAAAGGGCTTCTTGGTAAAAATTCCAAAAGGAAAAGCCTTAATGGTATTGCTGGTTCTTCTCTCCTGACCCAACGAAGAAGACAGGTTGAAAAACAGGCGTATTCTTGGGTTCTGTTGGCTCTGGGGTCACGGTTTTGGTAGGAGTGCCAAGGGACTGTACTTCCGAAGGAAGGTGCCGCTTTCCTGCTTGCTCCCATGGCCCATGCCAGCATTCCCCTTGAGCTATTAGTGTCTTTCAGAAGAAGTATTTCTCATCAAATAAGTTTTAGGTAATCGTGTTTATACTGTTTCCCACGAAGCACGGTAGACTTTTAAAAATTTTGTGAAGCCTAATAATGATGATCTGCTTAATTTTTTTTAGCCCAGTGTTTCCCACAGAACTCCCCCCCTGCCCTGTTCTTGGCAGAAAAACCTATAAATGGCCATTGTTAGAGTTATTGGGGAATCTTCAGCACAGACTCTGGGAGGTGCTAACTCCCACCAAACAACTCAGTCAAGGCACAATGTGACTCTTGCCTGTCTCACACCTTTTTTCTTTTGCTCTCCCCTATTCCAGAACAGAGAGAAGGGGGAAAGGGCTGAGCAAAAGACAGAGGGCCAGTCTGTTTAATGAGGTCAAAAGGCAGTGGCCACAGCACACATTTGTACTTGGAGATATAAACAGTTAGTATATATTTGTTGAATTGAACCCAACAATTCTTTAATTTAAAACAAGTTTTCAAAAAGTGTGTGCTACATGCATCTTTCTCATATCAGGCCCATATCCTGTAATATTTTCACTTACATTTCACATGACGTAGACTTTGTCAGTTCAGGAATGCCTGTGTTAGTCTGAGAGGAACTTCCTTGGGTATCAAAATTTGTTACACAGGACAGAACATTTTTGCTGTGTTGTCAAAGTGCCCTGTAATTGAGAAAGATTCCCGAAAACGTGCCAACAATGCAGTAATATGTATATTGGTTTAGAGTACTGAAATGGAAGCTTTGTTTAAAAAATTTGTGCAAATGGTGATCTACTCTTCCACTTGATGAAAGTAATCTGGCTCCCATTAGTTGCTGAGGGATTTTCTTTTCTGTATTAAACTTTGAAAAGGGAGGGTCTTTTCTGGTAAATTTGCTAATACATCTCTGAGAACGAATACTATAGAAACTGAGTAAAAGGAGCTCCAATTTAAACTAGGACCTCCTCATTACTTTCTCAAGCTTGTAAGAGAACCTACCGAGATGAGTATATGTATACGTATCTACCTCTCTAAGAGGCTACAGACACCACAGGCTCCCTTCTGCTGGCATCATATTCAAAAGCAGACGGAGTCGGGGACTCCACGGTGAGGGGCTTCAGCCGAATTTCCCCCAGGAGGGCACAGAAGAACCTCACTGAGAAGATGTAGCTGAATTGACAAACTGGAATCACGGGTTGTCTGGAATGTTAAACTAACCTGTTTACAAAGAAAACGCTGGACACTTGAGCACCTTACTTCTCTGGCAAAAAGGGTTTTGGAAGCTTTTCCCTGACCCTTCACCATCTTGTCCTCTTCCCCACAGGCTGCAGGCTAGATCATTTAAATAAATAGGGTGCCTTTGCCCTTAGGCTGTAAAAGCAAAAGGTTTTGGCTGCCTCTGTAAAGCTAGGTGTTATGTTGTGACCAAAATATTGATACCCGAACTTAAAAAAATATATATGTGCCTTGCTGCAAAGGTGAAAATACTATCTGTTTAGG